TTTTTTTTGCCCAGAGGGCTGCTCGGGGCCGCCGGTGCCGGGGCCGTGCCGCGCCGCCTTCCCCCGCTGGTATTTCATTCCCGAGGAGAATTCCTGCCGGGAATTCACCTACGGCGGCTGCCGGGGCAGCGCCAACAACCACCGGGACGAGCAGGAGTGCCTGCGCCGCTGCCGGGCCACGAAAGGTGGGGAAAACGCCCCGAAAACGGCCCTGAAAACACCCTAAAACCACACTGAAATTACCCTGAAAACGGCCCAAAAACACCCTGAAAACAGCCCAGAAACGGCCCAAAAACAGCCTAAAAACGGCCCAGAAACACCCCGAAAAACGGCCCAAAAACACCCTAAAACCACACTGAAATTACCCTGAAAACGGCCCAAAAACACCCTGAAAAACGGCCCAGAAACGGCCCAGAAATGGCCCCGAAAACACCCTAAAAACAGCCCAGAAACACCCCGAAAAACGGCCCAAAAACACCCTAAAAACAGCCCAGAAACGGCCCAAAATGAGCCCTGAAAACAGCCCAAAAATGGCCCAGAAACAGCCCTGAAAACACCCTGAAAACGGCCCTGAAAACACCCTAAAAAAACTCTGAAAACGGCCCAGAAATGGCCCTGAAAACACCCTGAAAATACCCCAAAAATTGCCCAGAAATGGCCAGAATTCACCCTAAAAAATACCCTGAAATTACCCCCAAAACGGCCCAGAAATGGCCCTGAAAACGGCCCAAAAACACCTTAAAATCAGCCCAGAAACACCCCGAAAAATGGCCCAGAAACGGCCCAAAAATGGCCAGAATTCACCCTAAAAAATACCCTAAAAATACCCTGAAAACGGCCCAGAAATGGCCCTGAAAACACCCTAAAACCACACTGAAATTACCCTGAAAACGGCCCAAAAACACCCTGAAAAACGACCCAGAAACGGCCCAAAAATGGCCAGAATTCACCCCAAAAAATACCCTGAAATTACCCCAGAAACGGCCCAGAAACAGCCCTGAAAACACCCTGAAAACGGCCTAAAAACACCCTGAAAACACCCAAAAAAACCCCTGAAAACGGCCCAGAAATGGCCCAGAAACGGCCCTGAAAACAGTCCAAAAAACACCCTGAAAACAGCCCAGAAACACCCCAAAAATGGCCCTGAAAACACCCTAAAAACAGCCCCCAAAACACCCTAAAAGCAGCCCAGAAACAGCCCAAAAAACACTCTAAAAACAGCCCAAAAATGGCCAAAATTCACCCCAAAAACGGCCAAAAACCACCCTGAAATTACCCAAAACACACCCCCAAAACGGCCCAAAAAACACCCTAAAAACAGCCCAAAAACAGCCCAAAAACACCCTGAAATTACCCCAAAAACACCCCAAAA